GAAGAGAAAGTCCAAATAAACACATTCAGAAAACAAAAACGGCAACATTATAACCAACCCAAAAGGAACATAAAAGATTATCAGAGATTACTTTAAATATCTATATGCATGCAAATTTGAAAATCTAGAGGAAAAGGATAAATCACACAACCTCCCAAAATTGAAACAGGAAGAAACTGAAATCCTGAACAGACCAATAACAAGCCACAAGATTGAACCAGTAATAAAAAACCCACCAAAAAAGTCTGGGATCTGATGGTCTCACAGCCGAATACTACCAGACAGACAAGCATGACCTGGTCCCAAAACTGCTGTGATTCTTGCAAACAGTTGAGCAGAAGGGACTCCTTCCTAACTCATTCTGCGAAGCCAGCACAATCCTGATGCCGAAGAATGGCAAAGACACAACTAAGGAAAAAAACTACAGGCCAATTTCTCTGATGAACACAGATGCAAAAATTCTCAGCAAAATCATAGCAAAGTGCATCTAGCAGTACATTAAAAATTATATATATCCATTATGATGAGGTGGTATTTATTCCCAGGATGCAAGGTTGTTTCAACAAATGCAAATTAATAAATATAAATCACCACATAAACAAAAGTAAAAGCAGAAAAAAAATTTCATAAAATCCGACATCCCTTCATGATAAAAACCCTCCTCAACATTCTAGGACAAGTCATAGCCAATATCATACTCAATGGGCAGAAGTTGGAAGCAGTCGCCTTAAGAACTGAAACAAGACAAAGATGCCCACTTTTACAACTCCTACTCAACATAGTCCTAGAAGTCCTAGCCAGAGCAAGCAGACAAAAGAAAGAAATAAAAGGTATCCAAACAGGTAAACAGGAAGCTAATTATCTCTGTTCACAGATGATATGATTCTATACCTAACAAACCCTAAGGATTCCACCAAAACACTGATAGCCCTCATAAGTAACTTGAGTAAAGACTCGGGTTACAAAATCAATGCTCAAAAATCAGCTGCATTTCTATACACCAACACCACTGAAGCTGAGAACCAAATCAAGAACACAATCCCATTTATAATAGCCACACACAAAAAAATACCTCCGAATATCTCTAACCAAAGAGGTAAAAGACCTCTACGATGTGAACTACAATACACTGCTGAAAGAGGTCAGAGATGACATAAAAAAATGGAAAAACATTCCATACTCAAGAATTGGAAGAATCAATATTATACAAAATGTCCATACTGACGAAATCAATTTACAGATTCAATTCAGACCCAATCAAATTACTAGCATCATTTTTCACAGATCTAGAAAAAACAATACTTTAGTTTTATGGAAGCAAAAGAGAGCCCCAATAGCCAAAACAATCTGAAGCAAAAAGAACAAAGTTGGAGGCATCACATTGTCAGACTTACAAACTTTGTAAGTGAACAGTATCCAAAACAGCATGTTACTCCTACAAAAACAGACACACAGACCAATGGAACATAACTGAGAATCCAGAAATAAATAAAACCACTGTCATACAACCATCTCATCTTTGACAAAGCTGGTAAAAACAAAAACTGGAGAAAGGAAATCCTATTTAACAAATGATGCTGGGGAAACTGGCTAACCATATGTAGAAGAATAAAGCTGGACCACTTTCTCTCACTATATACAAACATTAATTCAAGATGGACTAGCAATTAACATAAGACCTCAAATTAGAAGAAAGCTTAGGAAAAACTCTTCTGGTCTTAAGTCTAATAATAAGCAGTGAATTCAGGACCAAGACCTCAAAAGGAAAAGCAAAAAACAAAATTGACAAGTGTGACCTAATCAAACTAAAGAGCTTCTGCACAACAAAAGAAATCATCAACCAAGTTAACAAACAACGTACAGAATGAGAGATATATCTGCAAACAATGCTCCCAACAAAGGACTTGCATTCAGAATCTACAAAGAACTCAAATGAATCGACAGAAAGAGAGAAACACTTATAATCCCACTAAAAAGTAGGCAAAGGACATGAACAGACACTTCTAAAGAGTATTTTCTAGAATTAAGTTGATGATTTACTTTGGTGAAAGCATAGCATGCTGCTGATCTTTAAAGTATAGACTTAGCCAGTTTTATTTTGTAGAACCAGACTAAAACACATCTTATCAGCTTCTTCACAAGACAAAAGATCTTAGAGTAACTTCCCTGAGAATCTACTGTAATGATAAACTTACATGCTATGTCTTTATCAATGTTCTCTCTCATTTAGTTTTTCTTTTTATCTACACTGCTCATAAACAAGTATTCAAACAATGCTTATACCAGAGTCTCAACAATATTCCTCTTCCTCTCAATATTAAAAGGTTTTGTCTCACCCTTTATTTAAATTGCTCTATTTAATATATGTTATCATTATGAAAATCTTCAAATCTTTTAAAAAATAGGCAAAGAATAAATAAAATTTCGTTACAATTAATGTTGCTCAAAGTTGTGAAAACAACAAATTACTAAGGCTGAATTTAGCATATTACTAAGGCATAATTCTAATTTTAAGTATGTTGTTCAGCACAAAGTATAATTATACACAGACTGACATTTTCTAAACTGGGGAGCACAAGTTAGAGCCTATACCCATATACATTTCTATAAAGTGTGACTGAAACATACTGTTACATTTTAATGCCCTATGTGAAAGCTTTTCTCCTATGTATCATATTAAAACTGAAATAATAAGTTAATCCTGACTAAATCAAGTGTTTGGGATCTCAGAAATACATGGCTACAGCATCAGTCTGGCTAAAAGACTGAATAGCCCACTAAATCTTGATGCTTTCTTCTCCCTCGGTCTCAAAGCCTACCTAAAAAGAAGACGGTAGCAACTGCCCACTTTTTCCCACTGACAGGCAGAGCAGTTAAAAGTTTACATAATAATTAAACCCTTTATAAACTGCTGTGTACATATTAATAAAAATGAAGTGAGTCTATAAAGTATTCACATTGCTTTTTCTAATAAATTCTATATTTTATGTTTTTGTGCTATATTTTATTCTGACTTTGGGAATCCAGGTAACAACTTAGATTTCAGTCTCCAGAACAAATAGTAATTATTTCCTTAATTTCTACTTAAAACCCCTGAGTTAAACTAATGAGGATTCTTGGCTTTGGTTCATAATAAATTATACAAAAAATGGCTCTTACCTTTACACCTTGAATGAGGCCATTCATGAGGAATGTGTGTTGAGGAAATGTTTCATGAAGAACCTATAAAAAGTGAACAGACATTAAGACAGAAGCAAATGCAAGCTAACAGGAAAATCTGCTGCATTTATGGCAGGCTACATAAATAAGATGAGCCTTCTAATGAAAAATTATAAAATATCAGCAAAATATAATAAATATCTTAAAAGAACAATGCAAAGTTAACAAAATAGAGAAGCAAAATCTAAATAAGGCAAGAACCCCAAAAGTTAAGCCCAGCCCTCAAAGTTGCCTTTACAGTAAAACTTATGTAGCAAAAATAAACTGTTTACTGATTACTTCCCTCAACAACTTTACGTGGATACCACCAAAGAGTTATATAGACTCAAGTATGAACCCAACCTTATGACACCCAGGTAGTCCAGAAAACCTCAAGTGTCAAATTTGTATTACACTAATTCCAGATACCTAGTACCTCTAGATGCCTAATAAAGAAAGTCTAAAATCACTTCTGCAGAGACCATAATTTAAGCTTCAAACCAACCACACAAATATCTTTTAAAAACATAATGACCAGCCAGGTGCAGTGGCTCCCACCCATAATCCCAGCACTTTGGGAGGCTGAGGTGAGATTAACTAAGTGCAGGGGTTCAAGACCAGCCTTGGCAACTTGGCAAGACCTTGTCTCTACAATAAATTAAAAACTAGCCAAGAGTGGGCACATGCCTATAGTACCATCTACTCTAGAGGCTGAGGTGGAAGGATCGCCTGAGCTCAGCATGTCAAGTCTGCAAGTAGCCATGATCATGCCGCTGCACTCCAGCTTGGGGGGCAGAGCAAGACTGTGAGTCAAAAAAAAAAAGTGAATGTTTATGTACATATATATGTGTGTGTACATATATATAATGACCAAAACACAAAGATAGTCATATACAAAAGGAAATAAGAAACTACAAGCAAAAACAACACAAAACAAAACAGTAAAACAAACAAAAAATTCACATAGAAACAGACCTTCAAAAACACTTCACATTTTGGAATTACCCAACGCAGACTTTAAAATGAATATGCTTACTAAGTTCCAAGATATAGAAGACATACTTGATACTCTTGAACTAGAAACTGTAAGAAAGTACACAGATTTTTTTTTTTTTTTTTTTTTTTGAGTTGGAGTCTCACTCTGTCACCCAGACTGGAGTGCAGTGGCCGCTCCCGGCCACCGCAGCCTCGACCTGCTGGGCTCCGGCGATCCTTCCGCCTCAGCCTTCCGAGTAGCCGGAATTACAGGCATGTGCTACCACGCCCAGCTGATCTTTTGATTT